TTCCCACACAGGATTTGCACACACACGTGTTCCCCCACAGCTGACAGACTCATCCCCAGTGCTCCTGCCCAGTGTGCTTCCAGGGGGAGGGCAGAGAGCACAGCTGCAATCAGCTCTGAGCCAGGGAGCCCTGCACTGCTGCAGCAGCCACTTCCCAGGAGAAGGGATGCTCTGTCCAACCTGGGATACCCCTAGAGGAGACCATTCCCACACAGGATTTGCACACACACGTGTTCCCCCACAGCTGACAGCCTCATCCCAAGAAACTGGTGCTTTTAAAGCAGTCTGGCCAAGTGGCTGGAGAGTAGCTTGGCACGGGGGTCTCTGTGGGACCACTCGGCTGCCCTTCCCCATCCCACCGGACCCTCGGGGCACCACTCACCGCCACGTCCCGCAAGGTGGGGAACTGGGGGTGCTGCCCGTCCAGGGCACTGTTGACAGCCTGCAGGGCACGGGGCAGGTCGGTGCCGAAGGTCCTGAAAACCACGGCGAAGGCCCGGCCATTCCGGTGCAGCGTGTCCAGGAGCCGGAAGAAGGAGGGCAGGATCAGGTGGTAGCGCTCGCCGGGCTCTCCCGGCACGGACAAGGCGTCGTGCGGCCGGCCCGGCCACTCCAGCAGCTGCAGGTGGCGGGCGTGGAGGCTGCGGAAGCGGCGACCCGGCCCGGCCTCGGTGAAGGAGGGGTCCCGGCCGCGGGCGCTGTAGTAGCTGAGGGCGCCGGGGCACGGCGGGCACAGGGACGGACGGTCGCTCAGCCACTCCCACTTGCCTGCAAGAAGAGAGGACCGCGTTCAGCGCCCGCCGCGCCGCCACACCGGCTCCCCCCGCTCCCACAGCCCCGGCGCTCACCGGCGGCCCCGGCGCGGCCCCAGGTGACGGTGCTGAGGAAGGTGTTGAGCGCCGCGCGCGGGCCCTGCCCGGTCACCGTGTCCGCCACCACCACGGTGTTGTTGAGGTCCACGTGCAGCACCAGGCGCCGCCGCCGCTGCGCGGCCCCGCCGCTCATGGCCCGGCCCCTGGCCCGGCCCCGCCGCTCACGGCCCAGTCCCGGTCCCGATCCTGGCCCCGATCCTGGCCCCGGTCCCAGTCCCGGTCCCAGCCCCGCCGCTCACGGCCCGGGCCCGGTCCGGCCCCGTTACCTGGTGACACCGCTGCTTCCGCCGGGGCGCCCCCTGCCGGCCCGGGCCCGCCGTTGCCATGGACACCGAGGGGGCGGGGCCGAGCGCACGCCGCGGTTGTGCGGGCGTGGCCCCGGCCCCACGGAAAGCGGCCGGAAGCGGAAGCCGGCGGCGCTTCCGGCGCCCCGCGGGCGGCCATGTTGGAGCGGCGGGCGCGGCG